CCAGCTGCGTGCCGTGTGCTGCCACTCACTCCACGCACCCCGTATTCTGGGTGGGCTCAGCGACCCTCTGATGGACATCAGCGTGCCGTCCCCGGTGGCACTGGGGATGAGAATGGGGGCAGCAGGGGGGGCGAGGCGAATGAGAAGAGGGTTGGTTGAGTGAGCGCTGTGCTGCCACCTGCACTTGCATCCATGAGCCATCGGAAATACGGTGGCGGGTCTCTATTAAATTAATTCTCAAGAACCAACTAGTCCCCCATCCTGCATTGCACCCAGCCCTCTCAGATAACGACATGACCACTTTTGAGGCGCCTCAAAAGTCCTCTCAGACGACATGACCACTTTTGAGGCGCCTCAAAACTCCTCTCAGACGACATGACCGCTTTTGAGGCGCCTCGAAAGTCCTCTCAGATAACGACATGACCGCTTTTGAGGCGCCTCAAAAGTCCTCTCAGATAACGACATGACCATCTGCACTGCACTCGATGTTGGGTTGAGGCGTTTCATCTCAAGAAGGCGAAGCGAAGCTACTCCCTGAGTGCACAAAGAATAAAACTCACCTGTCCACTTGCACTCGAATGCGAGAGCCAACGAAAATGCGGTGGGAGGGTCCCCTTTGTGCTGCCAGTGCTGCTGCTGGCCGTCCTCGAGTCGACTCAGACTCACCTTGCTACTTGCACTCGGATTCGGGACCCAACGGAAATGCGGTGGGGAGCGGTCCTCTTTGTGCTGCCAGTGCTGCATGCTGCATTGCATGCACCTGGCCTCTTACCTGGCTGGCGCTCGCACCTGGCCCTCTTTACCTGGCGCTCGCACCTGGCCCTCTTACCTGGCGCTCGCACCGGCCCTCTTACCTGGCGACTCGCACCTGGCCCTTCTTACGTGGCCCTCTTACCTGGCTGGTCGCTCTTCACCTGTCCACTTGCACTCGAATGCGAGAGCCAACAAAAATGCGGGTGGGAGGGGTCCTCTTTGTGCTGCCAGTGCTGCTGCTGGCCGTGGTTGTCGTCGTGTCGTCGGCGGCGGCCTTGGAGGGATGAGATGAGATGAGATGAGATGAGATGAGATGAGATGAGATGAGATGAGATGAGATGAGAAGAGAGAGCACGAAATGGGAGGAGAGGAAGTGAAAAAAAGCTGGGGAATAAGACGGAGATGGGCGGAGGAAGGGGGAAAACGGTTGCACTGCATGCACTGCACTGCATTGCATTGCATCTCACACACACACCTGCCTGCCACTGGCGCCGCTGCACCTGGCGCCGCTGTACCCGCACCAGTTTATGGGCTCATGGCAGCACATGCTTGCGCATGTGCACACATCAAAGGTGCACGCACGCGCGTGCACCCACCCACCCACCCACCCACCCACCCGCACATGGCACCAGCAGCGCATGAAACTGGCCAGGGACAGTGGCATTGAATACGCCCATCAAGAGTGCACATGACTGCACTGCACTGCACTGCATGGGCAAGGGTGCACTGCCCCCGACCCACCAACCTCCACGTGCTGCCATGCGCGCATTAACTGGTCGGGTACAGCGGCATTGAAGAGGGACAACATGAGCAGAGCAGACACCTAATACTGCACTGCACTGCAGCGCATTAACTCACAACATGAGTAGAGCAACTGCACTGCACTGCACTGCAGCACATTAACTCACAACATGAGTAGAGCAGCTGCACTGCACTGCAGCAGCATTGAAGACGGACAACAGGAGCAGAGCAGACACCTAATACTGCACTGCACTGCACTGCAGCGCATCAACTCACCTCCACACGCTGCTGCCACGAGCGCATGCACTGCTCGGGTACAGCGGCTTTGAAGACAGACATGTGTACATACCATATTCATATGTATGTATGTATGTATGTATGTATGTATGTATGTATGTATGTATGTATGTATGTATGTATGTATGTATGTATGTATGTATGTATGTATGTATGTATGTATGTATGTATGTATGTATGTATGCAAGTGTGCCCGTGTGCACTGCACCCACGCACCTCCACGTGGTACCAGGAGCGCATGAATGAATGAACCCATCGGCGGAGGCGTCAAACATACAGGCATACAGACAAGACAAACATGCATGTGTATACACCAGCAAGAATGCACTGCACCCACGCACCTCCACGTGGTACCAGGAGCGCATGAACAGATGGAGACAGAGGCGTTGACGACAGACAGACAGACATGCAGATGAACATGCAGATGAACATGCAGATGAACATGCAGATGAACATGCAGATGAACATGCAGATGAACATGCAGATGAACATGCAGATGAACATGCAGATGAACATGCAGATGAACATGCGGATGAACATGCAGATGAGCATGCATTCTCATGCACACACCAAGACAAGCGTGCACTGCACTGCACCCACCTCCTCCACGTGTTTCCAGGAGCGCATAAACTGATCGGAGACAGAGGCGTTGACGACAGACAGACAGACAGATGAGCATGCATTCTCATGCACACACCAAGACAAGCGTGCAGTGCACCCACCTCCTCCTCCACGTGTTTCCAGGAGCGCATAAACTGGTCGGGCACAGCGGCGTTGAATACGCCCAGCACGAGAAGACCGATGAAATCCGCCCCCACATTGTTCACCACTCCCTCTGCACGGAGGGGAGGGGAGGGCAAGGAGGGTGGAGGAGGAGGGGAGTGAGCAGAGCAGCACGAGCAGACCGATGAAATCCGCCCCCACATTGTTCACCACGCCCTCTGAGAGTGCGAGGGGCAGGGGGGGAGAGAGAGGTGGGACAGGTAAGGGGAGGAGCACAGGGGCAGCAGTGCCGTGCCGAGCAGAACAGCACCATGCCACGGGCAGACCAGTGAAGTCCGCCCCCACATTGTTCACCACGCCCTCTGAGAGTGCGAGGGGCAGGGGGGGAGAGAGAGGTGGGGCAGGTAAGGGGAGGAGCACGGGGGCAGCAGTGCCGAGCAGAACAGCACCATGCCACGGGCAGACCAGTGAAGTCCGCCCCCACATTGTTCACCACGCCCTCTGAGAGTGCAAGGCGAAGGATAGGGAGTGGTAGGTAGGGGTGAGTAGGGGGAAGCGGCGCGGAAGAAACAGTAGTGAGCAGGGCTGCACAAGCAGAGCGAAATACGCCCCCACATTGTTCACCATGCCCTCTCTCTGGCCGGGTTGTGCGGAGGGCAGTGATGGGAGGGCAGTGATGGGCGGGCAGTGATGGGAGGGAGGGGGGGGAGGGGAGAGGAGGGGCATGGGAGCAGAGGTAGTGAGCAGATCAGCACACATTGTTCACCACACCCTTTGCGGAAAAGGGAGGGAGGGGTAGGGGAGGGGAGGGGAGGGGAGGGGAGGGGAGGGGAGGGGAGGGGAGGGGAGGGGAGGGGAGGGGAGGGGAGGGGAGGGGAGGGGAGGGGAGGGGAGGGGAGGGGAGAGGGGGGGGGAGGGGAGGGGAGGGGAGGGGAGGGGAGAGGAGGGGAAAAGAGAGGTGGGACAGGTAGGGGCAAGGGACACGGGAGCAACAGGGCTGAGCAGAGCAGCGCGAGCAGAGTGATGACGTTGTTCACCACTCCCTCTGGAAGGAGAGGGGGGAGGAGTAGGGAGGAGTAGGGAGGAGTAGGGAGGAGTAGGGAGGAGTAGGGAGGAGTAGGGAGGGGTAGGGAGTGGGGCGAGGCACGGAGGCAACAGTAGTGAGCAAAGAAACACGAGCACCAGGGGAGGGGAGGGGAGGGGAGGAAAAAGGAGGCGGGGCAGGTAAGGAGAGGATTCACCATCCCCTCCTCACTCCTCAATGCTTATTCCCCACTCCCCACTCTTCACTCCCCACTCTTCACTCCCCACTCTTCACTCCCCACTCCCCACTCTTCACTCCTCCTCACTCCTGACTCCTCATTCCTCACCCCTCCCTCCTCCCTCCTCACCCCTCCCTCCTCACTCCTCACTCCTCCCTCCTCACTTATCACTCCTCCCCCCTCCTCACTCCTCCCTCCTCCCTCCTCACTCCCCACTCCCGACTCAAGACGCCCCTGGCCTGGACCCGGGCTGTCTCACCAAGAAAGGCTCCTGGTCGCGGCGCGAAGAGGAGCAGGCGAGCGGAGAGGCTGACGTGGAGGTAGGGGTTGAGTCCGGTTAGAATGGCTGCTGTGCGGCCGAATAGGAGCACGTTGGAGTAGGCCAACACGATGCCGCCGTGCTGCTCGCTGTACCTGACGGGGGGGGAAGGGGAAGGGGAAGGAGATGGTGCAGGGGGGTTCACAGCAGGTGGGTAGAGTAGAGAGGCATTGGTTCCTGTCAGAAGAACGCAAAATGCTGACTCGGGGCTCCACGCACGCAGCACACGTTGGAGTAGGCCAGCACGATGCCGCCGTGCTGCTCGCTGTACCTGACGGGGTGGGAAGGGGAGCGGGGAAGAGAACATGTGAGTAGGGAGGCCTGATGGGGAGGGAGGGGAAGGGCAGGCCGCAGGGGGGATCATAGCATGCGAGTGGGGTGCTGGTTTCCGTCGGACGTAGAGTCTGCTCTTGAGTCGACTCAAAAGAAGCCAGATGCTGACTCGAGGCTCCACGCAGCACGTTGGAGAAGGCCAGGCCAGCACGATGCCACCGTGCTGCTCATTGACACGTTGGAGAAGCACGATGCCACCGTGCTGCTCATTGACACGTTGGAGAAGCACGATGCCACCGTGCTGCTCATTGACACGTTGGAGAAGCACGATGCCACCGTGCTGCTCATTGTACCTGACGGGGAGGGAAGGGGAGGCACAGCAAGCGAGTGGGGAGTTGGTTCCCGTCAGTCAGACGTAGGGAAGGGTACGCAGAATGGTGACTCACGTCGCAGCACGTTGGGGTAGGCCAGGCCAGCGCGATGCCGCAGTGCTGCTGGCAGTACCTGATGGGGAGAGAAGGGCGCGAGGGGGATCATAGCAAGCGAGTAGGGTAGGGAGCGGTTGGTTCCGGTCAGAAGAACGCAGAATGCCGCCGCCGTGCTGCTCGACGCTCCATGCAGCACCTTGGAGTAGGCCAGCACCACCCCCCTCTCCCCCTCTCCCCCTCTCCCCCTCTCCCCCTCTCCCCCTCTCCCTCTCTCCCCCTCTCCCCCTCTCCCCCCTCTCCCCCCTCTCCCCCTCTCCGTCTCTCCCCCCTGCTGCTCAGCACGTAGCTGTTACGGAGCGGACGAGGGTCACGCGCAGCAGATGCGACGCGACGCAAGCGAACGCGGGCGATTCTGAAGGAATCAGACTACTCGGAGATTTCCCAAAAGGCTCGCAGCAGATGCGATGTGAACCAGCGCGAGTGCACGCGAAAAAAACCCTAACTGCCAAACAAGGAGAATGGCGGGACACACGAAGCGAGGAGCTTCAAGAGACCAACGTGATATTCAGCGACTCACGTCAGGAGCGACTGCAGCATTACCGCATGAGTGAGTTATTGAGCTGCTAACTCGACTATAACTACCACCGGTACATTCCAGGACCGTCAGCCATGAGTGCTAGTGACCTTCAGTGCAACATCCCGGGCCGCCAGCCATGAGTGTTAGTGGAATCACCGCATGAGTGAGTTGTTGAGCTGCTCCTTGACTCCTGCTACTACATTCCCGGACCGCGACGGGTGAATATCCAGGGTTAATCGCGTCTCGACCTCTCGGAGCGACGTGCGGTCCACCGCTGCTCCTCGCAAGCCCATCGTCTTAGGGATTTTCCGCGTTACTAGAGCCATTACGGTCGCTATGCACTGTATCGGGGAAGGCTTACAACACGCTCGCCATACGCTGTAATGGCTGCCTTTACAGCGTGCTCTTCCCGCGTATCGCGTTGGCGCGCTTCCTTCGCGTTGGGTTAGGGAACCTGCATAATCCCGCTATTACCCCAAAACTCTCGGGGTTTGGGAGTTCGGGTTCATTCGTTACGAGTGCACGGATCGCGATTCGCGAAGCAACAAGTTACACGCAACCCCCTTCTTCTACATGGGTATAATATGCTTATAGTCCACTCGGTAGTGTTTGGTAGCGCTACTGAGCGCTACCGGGTGCTAGACGACGCTACATGGTGCGAAGAGTCACTCTACAACGGTGGGAGCTGAACTACGGATGAAGACACTAGTGGTGTGAGTGATCGTAGCTTTGCTTGTGTTCTCACTACCCACGTGTTCATAGAGCAATCTGACAAGAATTTCACTAGCAAAACGAGAATAGAGAATGATAGCTAATGCAATGGCAAAATTAACTACATATGGGGACCTAGCAGCGTAGCTGTCAAACTTATATGCTGTATCTTGTGTAGGCTATAGTGGGGTAGCCCATATGGGGTACAACCCAATTAGGGTTAGTACTTGTACCCATCCTGCTGTTAGTCAATTCATTCTCGTTCTTTCTCTTGACATGGTTTCAGAGCAGGTCCTAGCCATACTCGGGTTTTCTTAGGGCCCACCGAGTAGCGCTACCCCACCCGTCGCGCTGCTGTGACCGCGCCGCCCTGCCCTGCCCTGCCCTACGTCGCGCTGCCTGCGCACGTCCTGCCCTGCCCGCGCGCCGCCCGGTGCAGCGCGTTCTGCTTTGCCCGCGCGCCGCCCGCTGCAGCGCGCCATGTTTGCCCGCGCGCCGTCGCGCCGCCTGCCGCAGCGCGCCCTGCCCTGCCCGCGCGCCGCGCCGCCGTGCGCCCTGCCCTGCCCGCGCGCCGCGATGCCGCGTGCCCTGCCATGCCCGCGCGCCGCGCCGCCGAGCGCCCTGCCCTGCCCCGCGCGCCGCGCCACCGCGCGCTCTGCCCTGCCCGCGCGCCGCGCCGCCGCGCGCCCTGCCCTGCCCGCGCGCCGCGCCGCCGCGCGCCCTGCCCTGCCCGCGCGCTGCGCCGCCGCGCGCCCTGCCCTGCCCGCGCGCCGCGCCGCCGCGCCGTCCTACCTTGCCCGCGTGCCGCGCCGCCGCGCGCCTTGCCCTGCCGCGCGCCCTGCCCTGCCGTGCGCCACTTGCTGCTACGTCGCCCTGCGCCGCCCTGCCTTGCCTTGCCTGCGCGCTGCCCTGCTGCTAGCGCGCTCGCCTGCCTAGCCCTGCCTGCGTGCTGCTCTGCTGCTAGCGCGCCCGACCGCTCTGCCCGCTATGGCCGCGCTCAGTGTCTTCACGTTCGATCTGGAGGGCCGCCCGATAGAGTTCGATGTGTGGCTCGACGACTTACAGCTGTTCTTACTAAGCGATTCCAAGGACGGAGTTTCACTGTTTGACCTCACGTCTGGCGCCTCTCTCGCCCCTGCCGGCACAGCTGACAGTACGACTCGCTCATAGTGGCTTACTCGTGACGCTGCTGCTCGCCTAGCCGTTCGCAACCACCTGCCGTAAGCCGACACGCTCACTTCGGACAGCATAATACAGCTAGAGCACTGTACGACGCTGTAGTCGCTCGTTACTCCTCCCCGGCCACTGCTGCTCTAGGCCGTCTTCTCCTGCCCTACCTGTTTCCAGAGCTGTCCGCCTTTACCACAGTAGCCGACCTCGTCACTCACCTTCGTACTAGTGACACTCGCTACCGCACTGCGCTTCCCGCCGAGTTTCTCACCAAGAACCCTCCTCCCATGTATATCACTCTCTACTTCATAGTCACCCGCCTCCCTGACTCTCTTAGCGCTGTCAGGGACCTCCTTCTAGCCCTTGACCCCACCGACCTCAGTGTCGACCTGCTCGAGAAGCACCTCCTAGCAGCTGAGACTAGCATAGTCGCTGTAGGCGCTTCTCGTGGCACTCCTCGCACTCCCTTCTTTGAGGGGTGTTCGCCCTCCCCCCTGGTCCCCTCCGTCGCCTCTACTGCAGCTGTTGACTACCTTCGTGCTGAGGAGGTAGGAGCTGCGTCTGCCCCTAGTGGGAGGCGCCGCAGCGGCAGGGACAGGGGAGGCAGGGGCGGTGGGGGTGGCAGAGGTGGAGGCGGTGGTGGGGGCGGTGGAGGCGGTGGAGGGGGCGGCGGTGGCGGAGGTAGTGGTGGTGGGGGTGGAGGTGGAGGTGGCGGCGGTGGTGGCGGCAGTGGGAGTGGTGGAGGCGGCAGTGGTGGCGGCAGTGGGAGTGGAGGCGGCGGCAGTGGTGGTGGCCGGGGTGGTACCAGCCAGAGGGGAGGCCTTGGAGGTGGTCAGAGGCAGCAGCAGCAGCGTCAGCCCCTTTCGTCTCAGGAGCTCCGTGAGTGGTTTGCTCAGCCTGGGGCGGCTGGGGGTAGTGGTCGCTGCCCGTATGTCATTCGCACATGTGACCGCTCTGGTCAGATATGCGGGCAGCCTCACACACAACACTGCTGCTTCTCCCGTCTTACCGACGCCTTTCGCGCAGAGTTTCCCGACGCGGCTGAGCTCCCCCACTGGGCAGAGCTGCTTAGGCAGGGTGTGGATATCTTTGCTCTTGACTATGATGCTATCCTTACTGCCATGTATGCATTGAGTGTTAGTGCTGAGGGTGACTGTTGCCTGTGTATGCCGCCAGACCCAGGTATAGAGGTAGCTGCTCTAGGTGCTGGTGAGTCTGCTGCTCTAGGTGCTAGTGAGTCTGCTCTCTCTGGTACCGCGCCTGCTGAGGCCTTGCACACCTTCACGCTTGACTCAGGTGCTTCCCGCTGTTTCTTTCGTGACAGTACCGCACTCACACCACTCCCAGCACCTGTTGCTGTCTCTCTGGCTGACCCCTCTGGGGGCCCAGTCCTTGCTCGTTCCTCCACTGTTCTCCCGTGTCCGGCGGTTCCTTCTGGCTCACTGTCAGGTCTTCACCTTCCCTCGTTCTCTACGAACTTGGTGAGCAACGCCGTCATTCAGGATGTATGGGTTGACACCTTTACTCCAGGGGGACAGCGTGTGGCGATCTGTACGTGCTCCCGGACTGGCCGGCACCTGGCCACGTTCACCCGTGCGCCTGGCTCGAGTCTGTACACACTGACTACTGTGTCCCCTCAGGTAGCTGCGTCTGCATCTGCGTCAGGTCAGCTAGCGGCCCCCTGCTCGTGTCGCGCTCTGTCGCACTAGACCCTCCTTTGGCACCACCGTCTTGGTCACCCCTCAGTGCAGCGCCTCCGTGGCATGCACTCTCGTCTCCTTGTCTCTGGTCTTCCCAGGACTCTGCCTCCCCTCCCACCCTCGCCTGCCCCTCCCTGCCTTCCCTGTGTCGAGAGGCGGCAGCGCGCCGCTCCTCACTCCTCCTCGTTTCCCCCGACGACTGCTCCCCTGCAGACTCTCCACATGGACGTGTGGGGCCCAGCCCGCGTCCGTGGACAGGGCCGCGAGCGCTACTTTTTGCTGGTTGTTGACGACTACACGCGTTACACCACGGTCTTCCCCTTGCGCAGCAAGGGGGAGGTCCCTGATGTCCTGATCCCTTGGATCCGCGCTGTCCGTCTCCAGCTCCGCGAGCGGTTCGAGATGGACCTTCCAGTCCTGCGTCTGCACTCTGACAGAGGTGGTGAGTTGTCTCCGACCTTCTGCGGGACTTTTGTCGTGGGGAGGGCATTCGCCAGACGTTCACGCTTCCGGCCTCTCCGCAGCAGAATGGGGTTGCTGAGCGCCGTATTGGCTTAGTCATGGAGGTCGCTCATACCTCCATGATCCATGCGGCTGCCCCCCCATTTTCTGTGGCCGTTTGCGGTCCGGTACGCCGCGCATCAGCTCAACCTCTGGCCCCGTGTCTCCTTGCCGGAGACCTCGCCGACACTGCGTTGGACGGGAGAGGTTGGCGATGCGTCGGTGTTCCGGGTCTGGGAATCTCGTGCCTTTGTCCGCGATACGTCCGCGGACAAGCTCTCCGCCCGCACCATTCCCTGCGTCTTCCTTGGTTTCCCCCCTGACGCGCCTGGCTGGCAGTTTTACCACCCCACCTCGCGCCGTGTCCTGCCCTCTCAGGACGTCACGTTCGACGAGTCGGTTCCCTTTTACCGTCTCTTCCCCTACCGCACTGCCCCACTCCCCCCCCCGCCGCTCTTCCTTGCACCAGGTCCTCCTCCGGTAGACCCCCTCCCGCCTCAGGGTCCTGCTCCCTCAGGTGTGTCTCAGGTAGACGCTGCCGAACCTGTCGAGGTCGCTGTCGACTCAGGTGCTGCTGGGGGTGGTGCTGCTGGGGGTGCTGAGCCTGCGCGTGCGGAGCCTGGGGGTGCTGAGCCTGAGCGTGCGGAGCCTGGGGGTGCTGAGCCTGAGCGTGCGGAGCCTGGGGGTGCTGAGCCTGAGGTTGCTGAGTTTGGGGGTGCTGAGCCTGGGGGTGCTGAGACTGGGGGTGCTGAGCCTGGGGGTGCTGAGTCTGCTGGAGGTCCTACAGGTGCCTCGTCACGGCGAGAGCCTCTCTCTCCACCGCAGCTGCGCGAGTGGTTTGCTCGGCGTTGGAGCCTTCGGAGGGGAGCTGCTGGAGCTGGGGGGTCTGCCACTGGAGGCCCTGGAGCTGGAGGTACTGGAGCTGCTGGAGCTGGAGGTGCTGCCGGCGTCGGCGCTGGAGCTACTGGAGTTGCTGGAGCCACTGGTCCCGGAGGTGCTCGTACTGGAGGTACTGGAGCTGCTGGAGCTGGTGGTACTGCGGGCGTGGGAGTTGGAGGTGCTGGAGCTGCTGGTCCTGGAGGTGCTGGAGGTGCTAGAGTCGCTGGTCCTGGAGGTGCTCGTACTGGAGGTACTGGAGCTGCTGGAGCTGGTGGTGCTGCAGGAGTTGGAGCAGGAGGTACTGGAGCTGCTGGAGCTGGAGGTGGTGCTGGAGCTGGAGCTGCTGGAGGTGCTGCAGGCGTTGG